TATTTGAAAATAATCTACTAAATCATTTCAATATTCAAAAAAACTTAACACTTTCTTGGCTGATTTCTGGACATGAACTAGATTCAGTTTAGAAAGATCGGGTTTGCATGACTGCTTAGCTTCTTGATTTGGGTTCGTAGGCCGATAATGCAGTAAAATATTTAAATAAATTTAGTGGTAGTTAAAATTTTTTCAACGTGACTAAATCGAGCCTCAGTAGAAAAATTGCCAGGGTTGCCACTTTAATATTTTCATAAGATGTTTAATAAATAAAAAAATGAATTTAGGTGAATCAAAATAAAGGAAATGACTATAAAAAATAATTTTATTAAAACGTTTTGTTTTATTTGTATAAAAAAAAAATAATTTTATATTAGAAAATTTTTATCCAAAAAATGAACATTTTTTACATGTATTTTTTTTCATGATTTAATAAGCATTTGCAATAAATTTTGTAAATATTTGTATTTTAATACTTTTATTTTTGCTGTTTGCAAAACTTTAAGTGGATTTGTTTTTATTGACTTGACAATATTGTTTTGGTAACGTTTTTTTGAACTTTGTTGCTTAATGTGTGTACTACAAAAAATCCCAAGGAAAATCCCATTTAGTTTAGCATGAAATTAGAATAACTCGCACACACCCTTAGTGCTATTATTAAATAACATTCATAGTGATGAAATGAAAATTTTGCGTTCAAAAGAACTTTTTGATCTGAAGGGAATCATATGTATTATATCAAATCCCATCTAAATTGTTGAAAGTTCTGGTGCGCTTAGTTTTGATGGACTACACTATACCTTTTCTATTTATCAATACCGATCTTTTTATTTGAATGAAAAATTTATGTATTTTTGTTGAAATCTATATAATATATATATATTGGATTTTGTAGTGCTGTTGACCCAGTTTTTTTTTATTTCATGATCTTTTGCGTTGAATATTGTTGTGGGCAATCATCTTCTGATTCTTAGTGATGATTCAATATAAAAATGGATTATATTCTTGGCAATGTGAAACAAATTAAAGACGTATTGGCGGCTTATATCCACCAATCCGGTTTATTATTTTTATTTATCACTTTCAATCTGGTCTATTAGAAATTCGTATCCGCAATATCAAAATTGTTGGAACGAAATTTTGCAAACCATTTTTTTAATATTAGCGTTTTATCAATTCATTTTCTTCAGAAGTATTCTTCTTCAATTCTTTATTTTTTTAAAAAGAATTTTTAACTTTTTGATAGTTAACAAATGTACATATGTATGATTTATGTGTAGTATATGTTTCATCATAGATTCTTATTTTTTAATTTGATTAAAAATTTAGTTCCTTATAAAGTAATTTTAATATAATAACTGATTTAACGATTTGATATAATAATTTGAATGGCTTCATGAATGATGAATCCAATCATTCGAGGTCAAATGGTTATTTAATAGAATATTTAATGTTTCGAATGATTTGTATGATTCGAATGATTTGAATGATTCCGATTTAAATTATTTGAATGACTCGAATGATCTACATTCGATTATTAAAATGATTTGAAAGATTAAAATTATTTAAATGATTTGGTAGATAGTTGGATCGATTTTAAATGATAAACTAATAGTTCGAATTGAAAAATTTGTAATTATTTGATTAATTCGAATATTTCCAATAAATATAATGTTTGGAAAAATTTGAATGATTTATTGAATATAAATTAATTATTTAAATGATTCAATTATGTGTTTAAACATGTTTAATTGGCAAAGGAAGGTATTTAATACTTAATGTCTATAGTGAGACACTTGTCTCTGGGTTTGAACTAAACAATTCATCCATCTTTATCTGCATTCATAAGTTGTACTTAGCTAAAATGTGATTTGTTTTGTAGTTCTTTGTGACGCAGAATTAATATTTGAAGTAAAAAGTATCTATAAAATTGCTTCATGATGTTCTGGCTCATTAGAATTGTTATCAAAATAAATAAATTTAATTTTATTTTGAATGTTATAAAATTTTTTTGTTTGCAAAATTAAAAAATATCATTCCTTACCTTCTTATTATTTTATCTTTTTATTTTTAAATAATTATAATCCTTTGTGAGATTAAAATGTATTTAGTATTTAAAATAACAAGACGAATTATTAACCGGTAGATCAAAATATTTGTTGCCAGTAATAATCAAATATTTTTAACAAATAAAGATATCTTTTTAAACTGCACTTAATATTTATTAATATATATATAATATATAAAATATGTTGTATAATTTAGCATAATAAATAACTTTCACTTTCAAATTTAGGTTTTTATTTGTGTGACCTTTAATTTCGTATTAATTTTGTTAGTCATATACATTTTACTTAATATGTTTTTTGCCTTTCTAATAATGTTTTCTTTAAAAGAGTTTAATTTTTTTAATTGAGAAAAATTTAACAGCTAATATACATAAATATTTAAATATATATATAAATAATTCTAAAGTTAGAAACTTTTTTTAGTTGTGCTTATTCTTTTATTTGATTGTATTATATTGTATCTTGTATCTCATAGCTTGCTTTGGAGCACTAAAACAGCAAATCAACAATTAAAGAATTAAAAATCTTTGCAAAAAACAAACGAAAAGTTTTTAACTAAAAGCCTAAAGACAAATTAAAAAGTAAGTTCCACCGTAACATTTTCTGTTATATGGTTTCACATAAACTAAATATTATTAACTATTAACATAATAATTTTAATGTTCAATTTGTTCAATTTTAATGATCATTTCCAAACACTTCATTGTTTTAATTTTTCGATAAATCTTTTTATTTGCTTCATGTTCTTCTCTGCAAATTATCGTTTCCAACAACAAAAACTAAACTAATTTTATTGTTTTTAAATATTTTGTGTTCAGTGTTCTTGTTTCGGTGCCTTTGCCGTTCAGTTTTGGTTTGACGTTCTTTGTGATTTTTTTTCTTTATAATTATTGAATTACTGCAATAGTTCAATTTTTAAGTTATTGCTTTTATATTCAAGTTCTGCACAAATTTTCTTAACTTTCAGTGATATATGGAAACAAAATTTGTTTCACTCTAATACTTAACAATAATTACATAAATATTTATTATATTAAATATAGTTTATATATATATTACCTTTAGACCCTTATTTTTAGTGATTTTATATCTTATTTCTCTTTAAATGAACATTTTTCTCCTCCTCTGTTAATAATTTATTTATTATTGCATCTTTTATAATCGAAAATAATCCATTCATAAGAAATATTATTTGCATATTTTTAGGGATAAGAAATAACTGCCACGATTAACAAAAAAATAATTCATTATTATCAGAGGAGAATGTTTTTTTGAGACTGAAAAGAGCATAGGTCGAGCCTTAAATATTCATAATAAAAAAATTAAACGACAATAATATATAAATATTTCATAATAAATAATATTTTATAAGATCATTTTCTATTCTATGCTTTACATATATTTCACACTAATCTGAAAACATCTAAAAGTTTATTATGTGACTCATTAATAACACTATTAACAATAAAATTACTTTGAAACCTTTTATTTGTAACTATTTGGATACAGTTTGATAAATACATATTGTATATAAGAGTAAAAAAATTTAATGTTAAATTTTGTCACATATCAGTTTATTATCGATAATATATCTGAAATATATTGAAATAAAAAAAATTGATAAATAAATTTAAAAAAACTAAAGGAATAAACAAATAAAAAAATAAATAAAAAAATAGATAAAAAAATAGATAAAAAATAAATAAAATAAATAAAATAAATAATATAAATAAAATAAATAAAATAAATAAAATAAATAAAATAAATAAAATAAATAAAATAAATAAAATAAATAAAATAA